TGTCCTGCTGCCGCCAATATGCATTGCAGTTGGGCTTCCGCTGCTGAAAGGTGGAAAGCATCCATGGCAAAGATATCTTCTGAAGTCCAGCCACTTCCCCAGCAGAAAGGCAGTTGGGTGAATGGAGAGTTCATGCAGTGGGAGTGAATAGGACTCAATCGAACGCATGTACTGTGTGACACACCCACACAGAGAGTGCATCATGATACGCTTTCGCATGAACAACAAGAAACAAGGCCCAAGACAACAACGTTAAGAAGCTCGTTTGTAATGCTGCATTGCACATGTCTAGGGATGCAGACGGCAACCATGCTACCTCACCGGCAAGAGGTTGTTGCGAGTAGCCAAAGGCAGCCGCTCTCCATCACTTCACCTTAGCACCGGGAGAGCATGCCTTTAGCACAAGAGAAGAAGGAGAAGAAGAAGGGAGGTCAGCGCCTTCTTGCGAGGATCGCCAACCCGAAATCCACTCACACCCCTTGTCGGTGGGCCGGGACAACCAGGAGGGCATCTTGGTCACATCTTGCTGGGTGGGTGTGACTGCCATGGCTGCGAGAGATTGCTGTTCTGCCCAAGGCAGTCGCGCAGAGCGCCGCGACCAACCACCAGCCCATCGTCGCGACTCGCTTCGTCTTCAAGATTCAAGCTGAAAGGCGCCCGCGTTTCTTTTCAAGATAACGGCTCCATGCGGCGAGCCTTCGACTTCTGGTCCTTTTCAGCCATGTCAGGTGATAGGAGCCTTTGCCAACACGCGACCGATCTTCGCCGGCGGACTCAAACACCCGATTACAGATATTACGTACAGCAGCGAAGTAGGGACGCGCCGCTCGCAGGTCGAAATCTGCCACCTGCTACCAGCGGCTGCAAGTCCTGCAGTCCGAGAGGACATGCGAACAAGGCACTTGGACCCTCGCGAGCGCTCATCAGCTGTCCACAAATCCGCGCTAAAAGCTTTGAAGCAGAGACGTGCAGGTGGGATCCTCTCGAGTGGCACCGACTGGGCACAGGCCTAACATTGACAGTGCCCGCCTCAGTTGAATTGGCGGTCGAGTGTGACGGGGCTGTGGTGTGAGTGTCAATCCGTGTCAGTCGCGTCGGTCAGGATGGGTCAAGGGATGCTGGTAGACTGAACGCTGAACCGCAAACCGCTGCGAGGTCGCGAGGGCAACGACAAACACAGCATGGAGGGCGCACAGCCGGAACCCCATGGAGTTCACCTGCTGGTGCAGACAGGGGCTTGTTGCAATTGTTTGATGTGTGACTTCGGGTTTTGCATGCTTGAGGCTGTGGAGTATTGATGACAAGTAGCATTGATCACCATGACTGCTTGAAGCATAGTCATGAGTGCATATGCGTTGAATAGCACGTTGAAGGTCTTGCTGCTCGCTGCCGCCGCAGCGCTTCGATGATGATGATGATGATGATGATGAGCAATGATCATCATGATGATGATGATGATGATGATGATGATGACGATCTCACATTCAAACACGCGCGCACCCGTGCGCTCCGGGCGTGTCGTGCGCGCTAGTTGGCAGTTGGTGCCAGGGCTAGAACTTGTGGTCGTGTAGCATGTGAAGCTGTGATAACAGGTGGCTTACCCTTGTGCTCTATCTGCACTCAGCAGTCGCACTCCATTGTTTTGCCTGCTATCAGCATCTGCGTAGCTTCATCTACTCAAGGGGCCCCTGGTGAGCCGAGTACACAGCAGCACGTTCTATGCACAGCAACGAAGAGCAAATGATACTGACTTTCACAGCTCCCCGAACTTCGTTCGTTGCTGTCAGCGTCTGTTGTAGCCACGGTGCTCACGTTCAAGCTTCTTCTCTTCCATAGCCTGGGCCTCATCGACGATCTGGTATTCTCCACTGTCCAACAAGTCGTACAGAGCATTCATGTTGGCTCCTTTCTTAGTCAAGCCATCCACCACCATGCGGGGGTGAGGTACCCATCGAACTTCGCTGTTGATAGCACTCATACTCTGTCTGATGACCTGAATTTCCAGACCAGTTCTCTTGTCCGCTGATGGGCCTGCAGTCTCCTTGGAAAGGTGATCATAAAGTGCTTTAGCATCCACAATGCACAGGCTTCCTTTGAGCTCCTCGCTGGAGTCTTCTGGGGCCATAGTGATAACCCTGTTCCCTTGAAGCCGTTGCTCCCACTCGGACAACTTAAAGTTCACGTCCATGAGCTCGTTGTAGAGTGATGCCACCCAGCACAGTTCACCCAGTCCTTTGCTCAAGCTCTGAGTTTCCGCCGCCAATGTAGAATTGACAACTTTTTGGATTCGTCCACTCCTCCAGGAAATCAATGAGCATGGAACTCTGTAACCGTCCTTTAGTTTGTCGTCAAAGGCCAAGATGGCATAGGCTCCCTGGCTGTGTCCCGCATAGGCGTTGGCGAAGCTTGCATCTGAAACAACTCCCCATGAAAGTTTCTCCGGCGAAATCCCACGGATCCGGATTTTTAGCTCGGGACGTTCTTTCAACATAGACACTGCTCGATTCACGTCCATCACATCTTGCACCGTAGGCTTCGGAAAAGTACTGGCTCCCAGGGATGCGGCGGCTGCAGCATCTGGTCTTCCTTCCTTTGCAAGCCAGTTCAGCACACCAACCACCGCCCTCATCTGGTTCACCTCGCTGTCATTCGCGAGCATTTTGGCATTAGCCTTCCTGCCCTTGCTGAGCTGCACTGGACTCAGTCTTTCCTCGACGAATTTAAACATGTCGATCTCAAACTCATAGTTTGGGAGCTGGTGGATTCTGCGACCGTTAAAACCCACGCCTTCTGAACACTTCATCACGTCTTCATATTTCCCAAACTGGAATTTCTCCTGAAGCTTTTTCATGCGGCCTTGATGCACTGCATTCCCAAAGGTAAACAAATCGTCCACTTCCACCGCAATCGCACCGTCGAGAATCTCCTGCGTCTGCAAGTAGTAGACGGTAGGATCTAGAAGAGATTTACGATAGCCCAAGGCCAAAATCGCTTCACGCAGTGTTTTGCGCCAGTGTTGAGGAGAGTCCCCTAGTCCGTAGACTCCGGCAATGATTTCCACCAACTGTTCTTCATGAAGTCCATCAATGCCGCTCTTAGGAAGAGAAGCGTACAACCTGCCTTGTCGACGTAGTAGGGGCATGCTCTGGCAGAAAGCATTTTTCAAGTCTCCAACCGCTGCAGGGTATTTCATAGACGAAGCTATTTGAAGTAGCACTCCAAACGACGTGGTGTTGAGAGTAGGGGCATGCCGATCCAGCTCCAGAAGATCTGGATCTTTGTCTCCCCTTAAGCACCACCTGCTCTTCCGGGTTGGAGGCTTGCCCGGTTGCTCGGCAGGTTTCCACCGTCGAACCATCCTGCTCGGAATGATTCTGTGTCGCTCCTCACTGTTGCGAATCCTTCTTGACTCTTCCAAGCTCAGCACTTTGATTGCGCCCGTGCTCTCGACTTTGTCCCACTCGCCCTCGTCCGTCTTCCTCCATTCCGGCCATTCATCCGGTTTGATCTCGTGCTCGTACACCTCGCCTTGTCCTCTAGCCTTCCCAACCATGAAGTTCTCGAGGTCAACTTCCTTGTTGGAGAACACCGTAAAGCCCGTCCATGACTTGCTTGTGGCCGTTTTGCTTTTCCTCTGCTTGAACCAAAGGTCCTTGCTCTTGTCGACTGTCCCATCCTCCATAACCATAAAGGTTTGTCGTACTTTGAGCCTTCTGGGCATCAATGTTCCGTTGATCTTGGAGGGGTTGCAGAGGTGATCACGAGGAAGTCGATGTCGACGAACCACCACATTGGGGTTGATGAATTCCCATTCATCTTGTTCCCGTCTCCACTTCCCTTCTTCAAAACAGTACCACTCGTGAACTCCCTTTTCTTTGGTCATTGCGAGGTAATGTGAGGTCGAAGCGTAGAGAGTCTCCGAACTGCCTCATAAGAAGGAGAACCCGGAAAGTTCCCGTCCAGCATTTCATTGCGCAGCACTGTCCTTGTGGTTTCCGGAGTCAACCTGGGTGTGGGTAAAGGTTCGGGCTCTGATTCGGTTCGCTGCCGTTCGGTCTCTTGCTGTGGTCCTGGAAGATCTTCATTCTGTGGTTGTGGTACATCAAGTTGAGGGGCTTGTTGTACTTCAGGTTCTGATGGAGCGTAGTCCAGCTCCTCTGGATCATCCGGTACAGGTACTTCAGAGGCTTGCCGAAGTCGTGGTCGTTGAGCTGGAGGTTCTAGGCCTTCTGGTTCTCCAAATGGATTCAAGCCACTTTCACCTTGATCATCTTCATCTCCTGGAGCGCCCTCGCCAGTCATATCTCTGAAAGTTCTCTTTGTAGCCGAGCGACCTAGCTCTTCACGTAGAGCTTCGAGTTCGCCAGCCAGGAGCTCTTTTGCGACTTGCTCTTCACTTGTGGCGTGACGGCACTGCTCAAAGCTGACTTTCCAAAGTTCGCCTTTCATCGAAACCCACAAGCTCGGCTTTTCCACTGCTAGCACCAAACCTGGTCCTACCCAAGTAGGTTTCCTTGACTCGTGGGCCTCCGGCGTCATCACGTGTCGTCGTTTTCTCTCTCGAGGTTGGCGATAGACATACACCGCCTCACCTGCATTGAAGTCCACTGGAATTCTGCTTCTTGCATTCTTCGCCTTTGACAGCGCCACCTCGGTCTGAGACTTGATGTAGGCCTCTTGAGCGCATTTGCGAATCTCCAGCATCTTTCTCATTTCATCTCCTGCTCCTTGGACAACCAGCTGAGGGTCCAAATGATCGTCTGAAAGTAGAGACCCTGGCAATCGAAGGTTGTGTCCAATCTGCCTTTGCATAGGAGAAAAACCACTCCGGTTCCCATACCTATTCTTTGCGCTCTCAACTTCATAAAGAAGCGTCTTGACCTCTTCCCAGGAGCTGATGTGGGTGGATTCTCAGGCACGCTCGTAGATATGTTTGAAATGGGCTCCAGCTCTCTCAGTCTTTCCAGCTTGCCATGGTGACCTTGCTGCCGCATGACGAATCAAAGCACCTGCTTGTCCAGCAAGTTCTGAGAACTGTCCTCTGAACTCGGAACCCAAATCTGCAACAATGATGTCCGGAACACCAATGCCCAAGTCCTCATGAAAGTCCTCCAGGTGTGGTCCGACTCCGTGCTCCGAAGTCGCTCTACCATTTGGTAATTGGTGCCCCAATCCACCATTGAAAGAGCCGGAAAGCTCTGTCTGGGGTCCAGCCCTTGAAGAAAGACCACATCCACTCCCACAACCTTGCCCGGCTCGTAGGATTTGGGAAGAATCGCCGGTCTAGCCGGCTTTGGTCGTGGCTTTGCTTCGCATGTAGCACAACTAAACCGTTTAGCCACGTACCTTACGAGGTGGGGCTTTGCATGTGCCAAGCGCAACGATCTGGCCATGTCCAAAGGTCGGGGATGGCCAAGGTTCTCATGAAGCTTCTTGATCAGCCTCTTCTCTTCAGCTGTTGGATCCAAATCATCATCCACATTTGCATCTCGAGAGTCCTCGGCATCCTGCTGGTCTTCCGTCACCGGCTCAAACCGCTGCTCATCCTCCTCCACATACACCTGGGAGAATTGTCCAACTCCAAACTGCACTGCACCGTCAAACATGTAGACGAAGGCATCCTGGGGCAGAATGAAGCTCATCCTCCTGAGAAGCTTCAAGTCCCGGTTACCAACCATGTCGACTGCTCGGGAGGTGAAGGCACTGATCACAAACCGAGTGCCTGTCCAGGGCATCGAAGCATGCCATGCCCGAGGATCAAACTCGGTAGCCTTGTAGTGGGTATCGTGAACCTCACCAGCCATTGTAGATCCGTTTGGCATCGTTCTCCATGTCGACTTGTTGGTGGTAGTAGAGGAAGTCTGCGTCCACAGTCCTCCGCCTTGGTGTCTTCCCACAGAGAAGATGTAGTTCTTCGAAAGACGTTTGTTGTGGTTGTCTTTGTGTGGAAGACTGCCAGCATTTAACCCAATTGCGACCGACGTCCAAGTAGGCCTTGAGATCCCAGCACACTTGCATTGGTACTTCAACACCCGATTGACGTACTCGGTAAATTTGGGAAGCTTCTTGGCCAAGTTAGTGACTCCATGACTGTTGCCGTGGGCATAGAGGCCAAGGGAGAGATACAAACCATTCTCCACACTCTGCCTGGAAGATGCCTGTCTGAACTGAAGGGTCTCGCATAGCTTTTCCATGGACATGAAGGAGAAGTCTCGCTCCCGCAACAGACGTTCTGCTCTGAACTCCAAAACATTGACTTGACCAAGCGTGAGAAAGGACTTGCTTCCTGAACACTGTCCTTGGGACCAGTCGTGCTCCTGACACACATCTGTTTTAAGGGACCAGTCGTGCTCCTGACACACATCAAAAATAAATGACCGGTGCGCCTCTGGATTCTGTCGAAGATCGTCGGTGTCCTCAGGGATATTCTCATAATCGTCGAACATGAAGCTCTCGTTGTGAGAGTGCGCCTCTGGATTCTGTTGAAGATCGTTGGTGTCCTCAAGGTGTGCCTCTGGATTCTGTGGAAGATCGTTGGTGTCCTCAAGGTCAAACTTCAACCCATTCTCCGCCATATCCTTCAATCGACCTGGAAGACCTGCATGGTTGCTAAGAATCACTTGGCGCCCATTCGTTTTCACCGTGAAGACTTCATCTTGATCGCTCAATCCTTGCCGACAGTAACTCCCATCATCTTCATCACACAGAACTGCAAAGACACCTCCTTGCGCACTCTGCCACTCCGCTGCATCGATTGACAACTGCAAGCTGGGTTCGTCACGATCCGGCTGTAGTTTCAAGCAACGGGGGCCTTTGTCTTTCAGCTGTACCCAAAACTGCTGCTTTCCAGGCGGCTCCAAAGTGGCCATCGCCTGCTCACACTCAACAAACTTGTGAATTCCATATGGTGATACTGCCTCGACAACCGGGCTGTGTTGCTGTGTGTACATGCCCTTTATGAGGAGATTGATGTTCTGGGAGGTTCGCTTGCGTTCTCCTGCCGAGAGGGCCTTGATCTTGCCCGACTCCTCACTCCAAACACTCATGCTCTCGTCATCGACAAACACAGCCAACATGAACCTGCCATATGCTCTCTTGGGAAGCCAGCCTTCACACTCCAGCCAGCTATGAGCCATAGTATCATACATGTAGTAGACGCGGTTCAATGGCATAGTCCATGGGGTCGAGGAATGCAAGCAAAATGCTCGCATTTGCAACTTTCTTGCATGCACCAACTGCTCATCACTCCATAGGAAGCAGCTGTTGTCCGGACGCACATGCTCCGGAAGTCCATCGACACTCAAAGCTCGTTGACCATCTGAAAGCCATCCATATGGGCGACTGGAGCCTGACCCTGAAACTGACTCAGGTAGCTCTGCATCCACGCCAGCTGCACCTTGAGTTCGCTCACTTCCTCGTGGTGCGTGCGGGCCTGGCTCGCAAGTTGAGCCTGGGTCTTGGCCTTGAGCTCCTCCAGGGGGTCCGTGATCGCACCATCCGGCTCCTCGATCTCCATCATCTCCACCTGATGCGAGCCTACCTTACGATTGTGTACCCCGTTGCTCAGGCCTACGCCAGGCCTTCCGCCCAGCAACATCGCTCCGGGTGAGCCCACCTCTGACCCGTTGACCCCTGAACCTGATGAAACCTTCCACAGCTCAGGTTACAGGCACTTTTCACCGAATCGCTTGATGTGCAACCCTTGGTTTGTGTGTCGCCTGGCATCACCTGATTGTCGACCAGATCTAATTACGTTCAGAAGATTTATCTACGGTTCGCTCCCTGGCTGCGTCTGACTCTGTGACCTTTGGCGCCGCACGTCCCGCTACAACTTTCGTTTTGATGGCCTCATCCTCATAAAGCATCTGGAAGTTTCCCAGCTGCCAGATGACATCTTGGTTCAGCCTGATTGTGAAGAACGACATGCTTCTGCCGAGGAGTAGCCCAGTACGTGCCTATTACCCGTTATTTGCAAAACCTATTGAGGCTTGCTGATCTATGCGGGGACCCCGCGACCCCAAGGTCAGCGGTCTCCCAGACTTTGAGCGGGAAGTGTCCTTAGATGAAGAACTGGCACCAATCGATTGCTTGCTGGTCTGCGTTTTATTGTCATGATTGTTCACGAATGGCGAAAAGTGCACATGTTTTTGCACACAAGCCCAAACTGTCCACGCTAAGCTCTGCACATGGGCTGAACATGTTTTTTTCGCCGTGTCTCCACCAGCCAGGCGTTCGTAACAAACCGCTGTCAATGCCCACGCACATGCACACCCTCGCACCGACTGCCCACACAGAAGAAAATCATACTCGAACGGTATGCCAGCTTCAGAACACAAGTCCATCTCGACCACTTCTGCCACAGCAGCAGCTCTCTGCGAAGGTTTGTACGTTTTGCTAGCGCGCGTGTGCAGTTTCATGCGCATGCACGCGGCGCATACATGCGGCGCATGCGACTCGGGCTTTTAGGAACTTCAGGGAACCAAGTTGCGCACGTGGAAGTAGGTTTTGGCGCCAGCTGGTGCCCTTTGTTCTGCCAATGTCCTGTCAGGCGTCGGCGGTGACCCCCATCAAGACTATTCTTTGAAATTGGTGCAGCCAAGCTCGAATATGCTGAGGAAAGAGTCTGAGTCGCCGCCCTGCGCTGATGCCTGGTAGTTTCTCGTCACCACAATTACGTGAAGAAGGAATGTATACAGGCAAGGTTTGCAAGGCAGGTCAGACTCGAGCTTGCAACATCGGCAGCGCGTGCAAACTCAGCGTTTTTTTGGATATCCCGCACTACGTGCAGTACCTGAAGCAGGGGCCAAGAAGGCGTCCAGGGCGAGTACCAGAAGTTCATGTTCCAGCACGCAACGCACGTTCGAAACACGCAGGCCAGGATTTGACAGTCGCAATTTGGCATAAAGCATAGGGCGGCCTGGCTTGTTTCGGATGTACTTTGCTAAATGGGGGGGAGGAGGCGCTGTCGGGCTTCTGGGTGGAGGCGGGGCTGGGTTCCTTCCATGGAGGTGGGCCCAAATGTGTCGGGGTGGAGGGGGGGTGTTGAGGTGAGGAACCTTTGGCAGTTCCTTCCATGGAGGTCATGCCCTGTGGTCGGAGTTGCTCTGTCCTGCTACGGAAATGAGATGGAGGTCATGCCCTGTCTCATGGCTCTGGCAGCTCGTTGTTCCTTGCCTCTGGGGCGTGTTCTGGGTATGTGTGCGGGTGCAGCACTGCAGGAGTTGCCTTGCCTTGCCATGTCCTGCTGTTCGGGCAGGTGGACTTGACCGCCGCTGCTGGTCGCTGCCGGCCTGTGAGGCCAGGGCCAGGGTTTTTCTTTCGGGTTTGGGTTTTCTGGGAAGCCCGGGTCGCTGTGTTGTCCGCCACGCCTGCCGCGCCTGCATGCACAGAGCCAGCATCCGTACAGTGCCGCACGTGTGCACACGTGTGCAAACGTATCAAGCACCGCAGAGATGAAGTGTTGACGCGCCGATTTATTTGTCACGCATACTCACCCCGATCTTGATTGCAGAGAACCCTAGCAAGACTAGTAAGCAGTAACGGCATTAGCTCGCTCCTGCAGACGGTGGGCGAAGATCTCCCGCAGTGAAAACTCCCAAGAAAATCCATGCTGCATGGGACTGAGCCACATCTTCGTCTCCAACTTCAATCGTTTGCTGAAAGATGAGATGTGGTATTTCTCTTGTCTTCAGCAACGTGCATGTTCGATCCTTTGCTTCTTCCCAATCCGCACGGTTCGCTGCTATGGAAGCCCAAACTGCCCCAGGACCACTTCCCTCGTTGAACGAGGGATTTCCGGCTTGTTCGCAACACAGACGCACACCCCAACATCGCCACCCCGAGTCCCTATCCACTCCTTGGTACTCTGACGTTATGCGTGCCTTTGGAGCACTGGAGCTGGCGGCCGCTGGTGGCCGTGCTGCCTTGCGGGATCGTTTCTTCTTTAACCTTGTGCTTCCAAGGCCACAATAGGGAACTGACCCAAGGACCTCGTCAGCGAGTCCCTGGGCCTACGCCCCCTGCCCAAGTTCCAGGAACTAGTTCCGATCTCCTTGCTCGAAAGCACCAAAATGCATAGCTTCAGAAGTGGTATGAGTGTGGTCTAATTGTTACTGCTGTTTGGCATGACTTCATAAAGTCACAGGGAAACAGACTTGTTGATTGCAGTCTTCCTGCTTGATTCCTCAATTACGTGTGAACCAGATACAGCTTTTGGTGCCGAGCAGATGTGAAAGCCATACAGACTGTAATAGTAACAAGTAGAAGTTAGAAGTAGAAGCAGTGTCAGCCAAGTAGCAGTAGTAGTACTAGTAGTA